GCTCCGCCCAACTGTTTCCTATTGGCCGGCACCTGCCAGGCCTATGAATAACAACTGGGCGTCACGGCCGGCTCCGCCCAGTTGTTATTGTTTAATGACAGATCAGCATCACCAGGTCATTTGGGGACGGTGATCTGTCATTACAACTGAGCGGAGTCTGCCGTGAGTTCACGGCTGGCTTGCTCAGCTGTCATTTGCATGGAGATTGGTCGGCCTCTCGCCCGACCTTTTCTCCACGCTTCAGCTGTCACTTTGGCTCAGCCGAGCCGAAGCATATGCCTTCGGCTCAGCTGCCTTCGGCTGCTGTACGGGCTATAGTGAATAGCCAGTACGTCAGCGAAATGCAGAGGTGACTAAATCGAGCCGAAGCCGAAGCTACGACTGGATCCTTCGGCTCTTTAGAGCATAACCCTCTTAGTTTTAGATTCACACCACATTATGGCCACTAGATGGGGCTAAGGAGCATAGGAATTCAACAGAGCAAAGACTCCTCTTACCACCAGCTGAAAAAGTAAGTATAAAACATGGAGTGGCTTTGTTTTATTTATTGTAGTATACAAACAGGCTCTTTTTACATTTGTGTGAACAATTAACTGTTTGCTCCCTTTTGGTTTGCGAAACATACCATTGAAAGTTTGTTATATCTGTCTGACAAGTGCAAAAAATACCTGTGATTATGCCAGAAATCTTGTGAGCCGATAACTTCCTTTGCACAAGAAGGTGTTATATAGATATAGGGTGGTTGTGGAATAGACTGTGACCTCCGTAATTCATCAGAAATGAAATAAGCGGGGCTGATTCCGTAGATGGAACCTGAATGCAAACAAAAGGGCTGGGAATTCTGGCTGGTAATTACAAATATAGTAATGGCCATTTTTACATGCAGCTATCGGCCAGGGAATCTCCCAGATGGCAGCTGAATGGGGCCAGGGATGCATCATTGGTTGCTAGGACATTGTTGGCTGCAGGGCTTTTGGTTGTGGAATACACCTACTGCCATCTGCTATTAATCTAAGGGGAGGCAGACCTGATGGGGAACTAGTCTCTCAGTATCACCCACCAGGCTTTGCCCACTTAACAGCTCAACAGCGTTAGTGACCGGCACATTCCAGTCTCAGTGCTATCTAACACTCTTTATGAATTCAGGGACGGCGTTGTCAGATCAAAGAGGAAGGTAGGATCACACTATATACAGTGGTACCTCGGTTCATGAACGCTTCTGTTCGCTAACAATTCGGTTCGCGAACAGGAAGTTCGGCAAATTTTTTCTTCCGTTGGCAAATTCTGCATCGGGCGACGAACACAACCGCAGCCATCTTCCCTGCTCTGACACATCATCGTGGCTTCCTCTAGTTGAGATCGCGGTCTGATCACAGTTTGATTCGGTTTGCGACCAATTCGGTCAACATCAACAGTTATATTTGTGTACTTGCAGCATTTTTAAAGGGATAAAACATGGGGAAATGTCTATGTATTGCAGAGATCTACTAATTGTTTTTTCCATTTCGTTTTAGAATATGCTTTGACTATAGGTCCACTTTAATCTGTTTTATGCAGATCATGCAAATATGCATTTATATTCTTTATCATTTTCCTTTATTCCTTGAAAGAGCTTAGTTGGAATCCATAACAGTCTGCCAGCTCTTCCTGATATCTGAGATATATATGTCTAAGGATGTCTTCAAATACAGGAATAGATAAAATAAAGCATTTCAAAGCTCCTATCTCATTGCTTCCCTATAATACTAAGGCAATCACAAACTATCACTGTGTACTAAATTGCTTTTTTTGCATTTAAAGATACCTTTCTAAAACCAATTTAATGTTAAAAATGCCTAGAAAACTTAAAAGGCCTAGATAACATGAATACATACCAAGAATAACCTTTAATGTGCAGAAAGAATGGAGTTTATCTTTAAATGAAACCTGTCAGCCACTTTAATGTACACCTGCAATGAGAAAATTATACAGGCTGCCATTGCTGACATTTAAGTTTGAGAATGTTTGTTCCCTGGCTGTCATGCTGATGCTTTGGCTTCAGTGCTTTCTGAGTGACTGACTTGAAACAAGCATACATATTAGAAATTCCAGCACTCTTATGGCACTCTTTTACTGGGTGCTTATTTTAGGTCTGTGACTCCAGAGTATAAGGACCCATTCACACGTTGCAGTCCATTTTTCAATGGATGCTAATGGAAGGGCACTGAAAAATGAATGGGTGTGAATGGGGTTAGTTCACACTGCTCCGATATGTTGCATTACATTACATTGGACTGGAAAAAGTAGACAATTCACTATTTTTTTGCAGTGCAATGTAACAGAATGGATCCGGTGTGAATTGGCCCCATTCAAACCCATTATTTTTTTTGTGCCCTTCCGTTAGCATCTGTTGAAAATAGGATCGCAATGGATCAGAAGGAAATTGGAAGGTACAATTGCAAGTCAACAGACCCTCCCTTGACTTGCAATTTCCTTCCAATTTTGATGTGAATGCACCTTTAAAGCTATGCACAGCCAGATAACTAGCATTTTCAGAGGCCAGAAGTGACAGCCCACATATTTCTCTTATGACAGGTATACTTTACAGCCCAATTTCAGCTTGGGCACAAGTAAAATTAATGAATCTTCTACACCTAAAAAAAAATAAATCATTCAAGCCAAAACTTTTTCGTTTTGGATAAAGTAAAGGAGGCTTATAACTCCTGCCAGCTTTTTTTTGTGCTATCTGTGTCCCACTCGGGAGATTTTTCTTCACTTCCTATCTGATAGCCACAACAGGAAGTGAGAATGAACTCCAAATTGAGGGAAATCCTCAATTTGGAGTTCATTCTCCAAAATCCAGGGTTGAAGGATGTATAGAGGAGAGTTGAAGGATGCATAGAGGAGAGTTGAAGGATGCATAGAGGAGAGTTGAAGGATGCATAGAGGAGGGTTGAAGGATGCATAGAGGAGAGTTGAGGGATGCATAGAGGAGAGTTGAGGGATGCATAGAGGAGGGTTGAAGGATGCAAAGAGGAGGGTTGAAGGATGCATAGAGGAGGGTTGAAGGATGCATAGAGGAGAGTTGAAGGATGCATAGAGGAGAGTTGAAGGATGCATAGAGGAGAGTTGAAGGATGCATAGAGGAGAGTTGAAGGATGCATAGAGGAGCGTTGAAGGATGCATAGAGGAGAGTTGAAGGATGCATAGAGGAGAGTTGAAGGATGCATAGAGGAGAGTTGAGAGATGCATAGAGGAGGGTTGAAGGATGCATAGAGGAGGGTTGAAGGATGCATAAAGGAGGGTTGAAGGATGCATAGAGGAGGGTTGAAGGATGCATAGAGGAGGGTTGAAGGATGCATAGAGGAGGGTTGAAAGATGCACAGAGGAGGGTTGAAGGATGCATAGAGGAGGGTTAAAGGATGTATAGAGGAGGGTTGAAGGATGCATAGAGGAGGGTTGAGGGATGCATAGAGGAGGGTTGAAGGATACATAGAGGAGAGTTGAGGGATGCATAGAGGAGAGTTGAGGGATGCATAGAGGAGGGTTGAAGGATGCATAGAGGAGAGTTGAAGGATGCATAGAGGAGAGTTGAAGGATGCATAGAGGAGAGTTGAAGGATGCATAGAGGAGAGTTGAAGGATGCATAGAGGAAGGTTGAAGGATGCATAGAGGAGAGTTGAAGGATGCATAGAGGAGAGTTGAAGGATGCATAGAGGAGAGTTGAAGGATGCATAGAGGAAGGTTGAAGGATGCATAGAGGAGGGTTGAGGGATGCACAGAGGAGGGTTGAAGGATGCATAGAGGAGGGTTGAAGGATGCATAGTTTGGCTAACAATGGTAAAGAAAGTCATGTTGTGGTGACTTTAAAAGTTTATAATGACTGGCCGGTTGGCTTTAAATGTATTCAATTTCAAGCAAAAAAAAGATCAGTAAAGAATGCGATGCCCCTGGAAATCATGTTCATTTAGCAGATATTCATACACGATGGCAGTTAAAGAGGAACATTACCCTGATCTTCAAAATAACAACAAAGGCACCTTTAGAAATGTTTAGTAATGACAAACAACTACAAACACATACTTCTAGATAATTGCGGTCTTTTTATTTTTTGCATACCTTATTTTTCTTTTTATCCCCAGTGACCTTATGACAGTGGCCATTTTAACTAAGGGCAGGTTACTAGATCTCCCTTCACTTCCTGGAACTCCTGTGACTAGGACATATGACCATGCACATCATCTCAGGGGAGGAAAATGCCTTTCCCTGAGATCTCATGAGATTACAGATGAGATTTCCCAATGCTCTATGATGTAACCTTCGCAGAATGCGACGCTCTGGCACATTACATTTCCCTTTACTTCCTCAAACTCATGTGACTAGGACATGTGACCATGCACATGATCTCAGGGGAGGAAAATGCCTTTCCCTGAGATCTCATGAGATTTCCCAGCAATGCACTGCTGATGTAACCTTCCCAGGATGCAACGCTTGGGCACAATTACATAATTTGTGCCAAAGTGGACAAGGAAGTAAAAAAAAAAAAGAAACTATAAGTAAAATAAAAATATGTTTGTGTAGCTAGTAAATGTAAGATGATTTCATATCATGGAGCATGCAGCGCTGTATGCTGATGTCATTTTTAGTCTAAGGGGGTAAAGATCCGCTTTAAGAACAGTGACTATGTACATCTAAAGGGATGCTGGTTCTGCCTCTTTCTTATAGCGATAGTAACAGCCGGCAGCCTTCTTCCCTCTTTCTCGCCTTGTGTTTTTATCGGGGACACCTGAAATGTACATAGGAGGAGAAATTTCTTTTCAGGACCACAAGCTGTTCAGATGAGCTAAATACAGTTTAAGGAGCAACATATCACTCAGGTCTTTATTTTTATCATGAAGGCGTATATATGTTTTAAAGTAGTGAACTCATTGTTTTTTTTTAGGCTTTTCCTTTCTTTGCGTATGATTCTGTTCTGAGTCACATTGCTAAACCACTGCTTTGTCTTGCTTTTGCATTTTCAGATGAAGTCTGAGGACAGAGCATTGTTTACTGAGACTTACTGCAAAATCTGCAATGCGCAGTTAATATCCGAGTCTCAGAGGGTTGCACATTACGAGGTAAGGCTAAGACACCTGTTTTTTCATAATGCTGTATTGGGGATCTTGAAGAAAGGATAGTTGTATGATGTGTGAAGATTCTGGTTTGTACAGAATAGAAACAAATAAACTCTGCAGGTATTCTGTTCCACTTTTTGTTCACCTTTAAAGGACCAACCTACCCAATACTGATATATCCACGTTATAGCAGCTGATATAAATTGGATTGTTCACCAGGTGGTTATATTTGCCTGGAACTAAGATCCGTGCACCAACTTCAAAAGGTGGTCTTACGCTTCCTTTTGGATTTTTCATTTATCTTGCATTACAGGAATGCAGCAGGTGGAATGAGACAATGAGATTATGGTTGAGGGAGCAGAGACTGAAACTCTTGGGGGTTTTACAACTTGAGTCCCCAAGTGATACAAAGAAGATAGTGGGATTTATAGCTTACCATTTATCAATGGATTGAAAATTGTTTTTATAGCCAGTTGTTGGCCTATATAGTAAATGAGCCGTTCTCACATTAAAGGGATATGTGTTGTGGAAACACTTAGGTTGTCATTGAAGGCCTCTGTCCTCAAAGCTGCATGTCACACTTAGTTACATAGCTACATAGTATTTGGGGTTGAATAAAGACATACATCCATCAAGTCCAACCCATATAGGTCCACGCATCATCACTGATCCAATGGCTTCCATACATCCCGAGCCACTGTCCTGTAACAAGTATGCAGAGTTGTTCTGATCTCTCTCTGACATCCCTAGCCCCCATGCATATTTTCAGAGCAGTGATTTAGAAGGCAGAGACAGCCAGGCTATTAGTCTGTTTAAAAGGAGAGGTCAGACGTAGCAGCACAGGAAGACAAATAATTGTATGCAAGCTGCATATAATGTATATACTGACATATGGGGGGTGATTTACTAACCTAAACACACGCACGCACTAGGTGCGTGTGATTTTTACACAGCAAAACGTATTTATCAACCAAAAAGTCTCTAAAAGCATATTTCCACTAATGCCATATATGGAAAAATCATGCACATGATGCATATATAATGCTGCTTCACAGTTTAGACAAAAATGGTTAGCTCATGCATTTACATTCCTGCATTCATCAACGCAAGCAACACAATGTAGAGCTAATTTACACAACATCACCTTGCAATTCATGCAGGGCTTTGCACAACACACCTGCTGGGTGTGTACACACTACAAAGGTGTTTAGATTCCACCAATAGATCATGCTAGGAGGGAACACACTACAGAGGTGTATACTTGTTTGTGGCGTGTTTATAAGGTTAGTAAATCAACCCCATGGTATCAAGGCATTCAAAACGCACAGCTGCCCAGCTACTGACAGTCAGTGAAATAGCTGTAGAGCTGTAGTTGTAACTCAGTACTCCGTAGCTATCTTTATTGAGCCTTTGGCAAATGTGGCCATATAATGGTAACCTCTGTGTTGTTGTCTACATGGCCATGGTAATTATTTTGGACATGTGCAATTAACCCCTTATGTTTGTGAACCTAATTAGGGCTTATCGGAAAAAACCTGTGTGACTCTTATGTCTCATTCACACGGACAGTTGGGCAAAAAAGTATTTAGTCAGTCACCAATTGTGCAAGTTCTCCCACTTAAAAAGATGAGAGAGGCCTGTAATTGGCATCATAGGTAGACCTATGCCAATTACAATTCGCTGATTACTCTGAAAAGCAGATTACTCTGAAAATCTCCTTTGACGGCTCTGCTCTGCCTCCACCCTCCTTTGCTTGCTATTGGCTGGGAGGGAGAGTGCAGCACCATCATTGGCTGCCTGGCTAGTTTCAGCAGAGCGGGAAGGCACCTGCAGACGAGGCACAACAGGGCTGCTGGGGGCTTCACATGGAGCAGACATGGATGCTCCCCCCCATTGCCCCCCCCCGGATCCACCACCTGGAGAGAAAGAAGAGGGCATGAGGACAGAGCACATCACCACTGTAAGTCCCTTTTCTTACACCGCTGATCTTACTTAACTGATCTCACTTAACTGACATCTGCACTGCGTCACATTACTGACTTCCGCACTGTGTCACATTACTGACCTCCACGCTGCGTCACCTTACTGACCTCTACACTGCGTCACATTACTGAGCTCCACACTGCGTTACATTACTGACCTCCGCACTGCGTCACACTACTGAATTCCGCGCCCTGTGTCACCTTACTGACCTCCGCACAGCGTCACCTTACTGACCTCCACACTGCGTCACCTTACTGAATTCTGCGCCCTGTGTCACCTTACTGACCTCCGCAGTGCGTCACCTTACTGACCTCCACACTGAGTCACCTTACTGACCTCCACACTGCGTCACCTTACTGAGCTCCGCACTGCGCCACATTACTGACCTCTGCACTGCGTCACACTACTGAATTCCGCGCCCTGCATCACATTACTGACCTCCGCACTGCGTAACTTACTGACCTCAGCACTGCGTCACCTTATTGACCTCAGCACTGCGTCACCTAACTGACCTCCGCACAGCGTCACCTTACTGACCTCCGCACTGCGTCACCTTATTGACCTCCCCACTGCGTCACATTACTGACCTCTGCACTGCGTCACCCTACTGACCTCCACACTGCGTCACATTACTGACCTCTGCACTGCATCACATTACTCACCTCCACACTCTGCGTTTATTATTATCGTTCCCACCCTCCGCCGCTCTGCTGAGCCCGGCCGGCCACACAGAACAATCAGGACCCAAAGCAGAGGCTGCACTGTAGTCAGGCAAATTAGGCGGCCTTTGCCGCTGCCTAATTTGTGTGAGTACAGACCGCCCAAGGCTTACAGCGGCGGCAAGATCCCAGAAGGAGAAGCCAGGGGAGTGCGTTGTACACCGGGGGAGAGCTGGAGGGGCAGTGGACACATAGGCGGTGAGAGAGGAAAGGGGTGGCACAGTAGCAGTGGAAGAGCCAGATGGGGGGAGGGCTTATTTTTTGGCAGTGTCCCTCCCGAGACTAGACTCTGGATCCGCCCCTGCTTGGAGGTCGGCTCTATTGATCGGGAAGTGAGCAGAAACATGCACCATTCCGCTTACTTCCCGAGCATCCCGAGGACTGCGTGCAGCCACCTGTGCATCTCTATGACTTTGCACATGCAGGGCTAAATGTAGAACGGGGAAGCCACTTGTTTGTTTACAAGTGATCTTGGCGATGTCCCCAAGATCACTTGTAATACCTCTCTGCATGCTGGCTCCAGGCTCCGTCTCCCAGCTCCGTCCTCGCTGGTTGCTGCTGTTTTCAGGATGGAGAGAGGTGAGCAGAGTGTCAGAGTTAAAAGTAAGCCTGCCGCTCCGTGTATACAATGAGAGGGGAGAGCTGTCTTCCCCTCTCACCTGTCACAGGAGTTCCAACACAGTGCTGTGCTAGAACTCCTGTATTGGAGGTGACGGGCAATGGCGTAACCAGAGTTATGGGCGCCCGCGGCAGAACATTTTTTTTCGCCCCCCCCCCATATTATGTAAACATCCACTAGAACTGCAAATATATATCAGCTAAGAAACTACAAGTCCAAGCATGCCATCATTGTCCCTGTACACCCCCCCACCCACACACACATATCACCCAGGGAACGGCAATATCTGGTTGTTGTACAGGGGCAATGAG